ATTTTTAGTATTATTAATTTAACTAAGAAGGCTAAGCACATGCTTAACTCTCCCTGAAATATAGGACTCAAACAAGGGTTTAACCTGGACTGGCTTGTACCGATATCTAAATACACTTCATTTCTAAGTCTTTCTCCCTCTATTTCTAGCTAAGGCAAATATTGTAGCTCTCTATGTAATAAAAGTTTAGATAAATCTTTGTGAAGGGAGCTGGTGAATAATTATTCTGGGCAGTCATTAAATGCTCACCTCACACACAAACTTCTGCCTATTCTTGTTGCCCACGGCACGGATCTCATAAGCAATGGTGATTTTTCGCTTGCCACACCAAGCATATAAGAAATTCTTCACATCCCCCATGGCAGAAGCAGCCTGAGGAAGATGGAATCTATGGGGTAAAAGTAGAAAGCATTAGACTGCCAATGTATTTGTAGAGACAAACCTTCTCACCAATGGAAAGGAATGGAAACATGCATACAGATTCAATTTCAAGTAAAAGTAAATACAGGAAATCATAGCCTTCTGGTTCTTATATGTATTATTTATTAATCATATATTTTTCTATCACCAACAGAGCTAAAGTTATACCAACAAATATCTCTACCACTCTATAGCTCACCTTTACATCAGAAAACAATTTTGGAAGGGAGCAATGAGCCATTAAAAGCCACCCGACAAGTCCATTTTCCACTGGTTTGTTAGCTGCTAATTCAGATATCAGGAAAGGGTTTCTGCAAATTCAGGAAAACAGAATTTTCCTCTTCCCGTTAAAATAACTCTCTATTCCATCTATTTGCTTAACTCAAATCTTGTGCTCAATCGAATGGAGGTGCGTACCTTGTAGTGAAATCCTAGGTAGGCTTGTTCTTTTTTTAATGCAGCAAATGAGATCAATGGCTCAACTGACTCCTTCCCATCCAACTTCAGAGATGCTGAACAATCCAAAGCAGTTTGACACTACCACGTACAATGCAAGTTGTAGCCTACTGCATCTGAAGAGGGGCAGCTGTTATTGCCACCTCTATGGAAAAAGGGCTGCGTTTCCCTCTAAACCAAGCAGCTCTACTGCGCATGCTCTTCGCCGTTAACCTTTTTCTCTTTTCCCTCTGCACATGTGGATTCTACTCGCGTTCGTCGCATCTGGCACTCCTTCCCCAAATTTTATATCCGGAAACCAAAGGCCTCATTGCGCAAAAATACATATGTATAAGTTATTTTTTAAAAAATTAGACACAACCTGGTCTGGCCTGGTACGGAAAACTTCGCCTCGAGCAAAGCGAGACAGCAGGAGAGACCCTTCACTCCACTCAAGCCCTTCTCGCAGACTCCCTTTCTCAGCACATCCTCAAGATGGCGGCGGTTTTACGCTTGCGCAGAGTAAAACTGCACGATTAACGGCCTAGTTTCGAAGATCGTCTCTGCAGAAGTACGATGAGTAAAGCGCCTCCTGTGGCAAGACATAGAATTGCAAGATATGATAGGGGAACGGCGTGTATAGACTTCTGAATGGGAATTGTGTAATATATTCGTTCATGGAAATTACATAAAAATATAAATGATGAGAAAAAGCTTATAGAACTCATCCTTGGGGACCAGATGATGATAGATAACATGCTAAGATATCATCATAGAAGCCCTATTGACAATATTGTATTCTTCAAGCGGGAATCTACAAAAAGGAACTCATTTGACTTAGCCGACACAATACTTGTGGCACCTTAAAACAGTGTTTCCCAAACTTGACAATTTTAAGGCATGAGGACTTCAACTCCCAGAATTCCAATTCTGGGAGTTGAAGTCCACTTGCCTTAAAATTGTCAAGTTTGGGAAACACTGCCTTAAAAGAACAGTAAGGGCTTATGGATCAAGGATTATTTCACAGGTTCATGAAATATTGCTCCATGCATGATTGCAGGTTGGGGAATGAGAACCATAGAAGTAACTTAGTGAAAAGCTGAGAGTGCAGGCTCAGTATAAGGTTATATGTATATAAAAGCAGCATGGTGATTGTTTTAAGTGGCAACATAAAATCCTCCTGTTGATAAATTAACCTGCAAGGGTATAGAGTTCTATTGACTTTGCTCAAGCCCAGATATAATTATTGGTTTAATTCAGCTTTATATTGGAGCCCTCGTGGAAAATTCTCCTCTAAGAGAATGTCACCATTCAAATCTGCTGTAGACTTGTTTTCAGGTGCATTTCACCCAGATTTTACATTTTCATAACAAAGTGCTCTCTTAAACATTTTGAAAGCAGAGAACCTTGCCAGATTAGAAAAATATGTATCAATGAACAAGCTCTGCTTTTATGGAGGATTGATCAATTGAAGTGCCATCAGGTCAGAATGTCTAGAGATTCTCAGTCATCCAGGTCATCATGGTTGTTCCAAAGGTGCTTTTTCAAGAAGCAACTGGACTTTCTTGTTTTTCTTTGAAGAGGTTTTGCTTCTCATCCAAGAAGCTTCTTCAGCTTTGACTGGATGGTGGGGAATGGAAGGATTTATATTCCTTGCAGACCACTAGTCATTTGCATTCTTTTAGAGAGTCATTGAGACCACTTGGAAATTTGTCTGTTTCCTCAGAGTTACCTGAATAGTGCAAATGGGTGTGGAGACTTCTTGGAACTGCTGAAAGGACTGTGTTGTGGAGCTGTGGTCCCTGCAGAATGTTCTGAGTTGACTTTTAATGACCACACAGATATACCTTCTCCAGAGGTATGTTAGAAAATTATTAGTTGAGGGGATATGTCAGAGTTGATTAATTAAATCTTCTGCATCAATTGTGATTGATGAGTAACATTTTATATGTTGCAAGATATAAAAGTAAAAGCAAACAAATGAAGGCCCGTAAAATTAAATAAGCACTGTCTAGGGTTGGCTGTAATTCAATGATGATACACTGCCACAGTTTGAGCTAGGAAATGTAGGTAACAATGAATGCTGTGATGCTCTGTAAAATTTAACAGATGCTAGTCTGGTCTTTTCACTTAATTTCTCTGAGTGCAAACGATATCCTATTCAACAAACTGGAACAAATATATGGTTACATATATTTAAAAGTCCACTTAACTTGTGAAAACCGGAAAAGTCACTTTTCATCAGAATCACAATTCTAATCCAAAATGTTAGGTTTGGACCCAGTTGGTGGTATCCAGAAATACTAATATATGCAATAAACACTCCTTGGGCACCCAATATGTTCATTGCCGTTGTTAAAAAGAATCTTAGTTTTTAAAAAGTGGAATGTTAACATATTGCAAAACAAAATACCTGCTCAAGCATAATCTGCCTTTCTAGGAATACATTTCTTTGTGCTCATCTATACCCCAGAAGCATATGTAGGCAGTAAAATAGGAGACAGTTGTAGGAATCTGTGTAATATTGAAATATACTCGTTGCCTGGGGGTGGGGGTTTGAAAGATAGTAGAAACATCTTGGAAAGTTAAGCAGAGTTATGAGAACATCCTGAACTTACAACTCCTGCTTGAATAGCAGGTATGACCAGGAGCAACTTTGTGCAGGTCCATTTTATGTATCAGCTGTGGTGTTCACTAGAATGGGGGGCGGGGGGGGGCTTCAAAAAAACCATATGCCCTATTCAACTTAATAAATTGCTGCAACATGTTCTACATAGGGCTGCCTTTGATGACTGCTCAGAAGTTACAGCTAGTCCAGAATATAGCGGTGTCAGCAGTGTTGAGTGTGCCACAATATGTCTGTATCACTGCTATTCAAAAGCTACTTTGGTTGCAAGTTGGTCTCCAGGTACAATTCAAGCCCTTTATGCCATAGGGCAGGGGTAGGCAACCTTGGCTCTTTTATGACTTGTAGACTTCAACTCCCAGAATTCCAGAGTCAGCATGGCTGGTTCAGGAATTCTGGGTATTGAAGTCCACAAGTGAGGTTGCCTACCCCTACCATAGGGCTTGGTTATTTGAAGGACTGCAATTTCCAGTAATTTCTGCCTACCCAGTAAGATTGGGCAGAATGGGCATTCTCTAGGGCCCTTCATTGGGATCTGGAAAACCTGCCTTAACTGTTTTAATACCTGCCCTCTAGAGTAGCATCGTCTGGAGATTCCTATGGCTCCCAACTTGAAGTTGTTCAAAAAAATCTTCAAAAAGTGACTTCACTCCCAGGCCTGTATTTGGGTGGCTGTCACAATCTATTGGTTTTCTTGTTATGGTGTTGGGCTTGTTTTCATGCATGTCTCGTTTCCCTTATTGTTTTCTACTTTAAGCCAAAGCCATCAGGGAATTGGACAGCCTTTAAATCCAATAAAATAAATCAATTTGATTAATTTCATGTCCTCGTAAATGCATTTCTGTGCATTTTTTCATGCATACTAAATCACAACCACCACTTTCTGAGAATGTTCATAGAATCACAATTGAAAGGACACTCATTCACTTTGCTGCAGGATTACACGAATGTCAAACTCGCCGCGTCATGTGACATGTTGTGACATATTGCGACTTTTTTTGCATTGCCGGAGCTGGGGTGGATGTGGCCTCTGTATGATGCAACCGGCCTGTGGGCCGGCTGTTTGACACCCCTGATCTATTAGATATCTCTGACAGGTGACCATCTAAGCTTGTTTGAAGAACTCCACTGTAGGAGAACTCCACTTCATAAAGCAGCCTGCTCTGCTGACTTACAGCTCATACAGTCAGGAAATTCCTCTTTATGTTAGGCCTGGCACTGGATCTGTTCTGCCCCTTGGGTCAATAAAAAATAAACCAACCCACCTTCTTCAAGTATTTGAAGACACTACTATATGTTCCCTTCACTTGTCTTTCCTGTAGTCTAATCATTTAACTATTCCTCAAAGAGTTTGGTTTCCAGATCCTTCATCATTTCAGTAACCCCCTCTGAACTTGCTCTAAAGTCTGAGTGTAGAGTACTCCAAAGGATCTGACCAGGGCAGAATAAGATAGAACAATTACTTCCCAGCTACCTCAACATGGTAATCAAAAGCAATACTCTAATTGGACACATTGCATAGTCACTAGGGAAACAATCTTTACTCAATTAATAGCATTCTGGAAACAAGTAGCAGTACTTAGCAATCAGTCATCAGCAGGCAACCAGCTGCATCAAACAATCAGTGATTTCTCCTTTGTTTTCCTTTGTTCTGCCAACCTTTAACATATTTCCATATGTATTAACAGAAGCAGAAATACATTGATAATAGCTTTGAAAGTGCATCTACTCAACCAATTCAAGTGTATGGCTCAGACAGTAATATTTCTAGGCAGAGGATTCCTACTTGTAACTATCAAAGGCATCATGAAGCCTTTCTCACATGGAATTTTGCCAGTAAGCAAATTAATGGTAGTGATATGGAGAAAAAAGCAAGTATAAATGATTGGTGGGCAATTATTCATTAAACCCCTACCTGGAAGCACATAATTAAGATATAAAGAAAGAGTATGATTGGATTTTGAAGTTCCTTGTTTGCTACAAGCCCCAAAATGGATGAATTATAATAGAAATAATTTAAAAAAGAAATACAGGGTTGAATAATTTCCCATGAAGAATATCTTGCCCATCTTCTAATGCAACAGGCAAGATGTTCAACACATTTTAAGATATATTTTCAGGGGTATAAGATCTTAATCTCAATTGCTGTCGGGATCCAAGAAATACCTGTATGCTAAACATGTAATAGTCAGGATGTATTTGACACATTATCATTATTTGTAAAGAACTTCCATTTTTCCTATTGACCAGCAAAAGGGAAAATCTGCTAATAATAGCGTGGGTTAAAAAATATAATAAGTTAGTTTCACTGAGTGTTGTTTTAAATTCAAGATCTTACTACCTCTTGCAGTTCTTTTAAAGAAGAACTCTACACTGTTTCTGGATAGTGGTTTGGTCAAAAAATGACAGTATATGCTTCTGTTTCATCCATTTATTTGAACTACAACTCCCATAATCAATTAAGATAGATTTGGTAGCTTGGTGATGAGTTAGTTTAACACAGTGGTTCTCAACCTGTGGATCGGGACCCCATTTGGGGTCGAACGACCATTTCACGGGGGTCGCCAAACAAGTCTGTCCGCCATTTTTTCCCTCTTTTCTTTGGCCACGCCCCTGGCATCCGATGATGTATAAGTGGTTGGGGGTCACCACAACATGGGGAACTGTATTATGGGGTCGCAGCATTAGAAAGGTTGAGAACCACTGGTTTAACAGGATATTAATAGGTGGGGAGGAATTTCATTCCATGATGTGTAGTCTCCTTTATCATTCCTGACCCTAGTAATACTGTAGTTAGAATTTCAGTTTGATCAAGAAAATACCTGCTTTACTCATTTTCACATCAAAACAGTGTCATCCAAGGCTAGTGTAACAATCCTTCCCTTCTTTTCCTGCAATATTATAATATACTTTGAGGCTAATACTCATTTCATAGGCTGCCTATGGTTGAAAACTTGGTAGTAAACAAAAACATAAGGCTCAAAACATCATGGTGATAATAAGTTCCATTTCATGATTTACTTCTTTGTAAAAATGAATGCATGTATCCTAGATAAGCTGAGATGAAATCCCAGGTTATTTCTTTTTTAAATAACACTTTGTTGTTTTGGCCATCCAGGCAAGGAGTGTATAATTAGCTTTATTCCTTTTTTGTTACTCTTTCATTATTTTAAAAAATGGAGCTTAAAAAAAGCTAGAAAACACTTGTTAATTACAATTTGTTATTCCAATTGGACATGTTCCTATTTCAAGTTTTCAACAGTATGTACATTTCAAGAGTAAATGTAAAAGATTTCCAGAGTATGGGTTCTATAAATGCAGTGCTTTAAGCACTACATTACTATTCATATTGCTTCAGGATATGAAAGTAATAAGAAATAAATCAGTTGCTTAAATTGTACCATGCTCTCTAATGTTGCAGAAGAATTTCAGGAGACAAGACTTCTTTATTTGTTGGAAACGAGATCCTCCTATTTCAAAGTTAGTTTCTTTCCCCTGGAAAACTTCACAGTATTGGCAGACTAAAAGCAGTTATCATCTTCCACACAAACAAGGCCAGATTATTCTGGATAAGAAGTAGTCCATGCCAGATTCATGAAACTTCATGAAAATGGTGCAAGCTGCAAATATTTCAAATACTACATTTCAAGTTTACCAAATTATATGGGCTATTCTTTTAAGACCACAGTGAGGTTTAAACTGAACAAAAGAGGCAGTTCTTCAGGCTTTCCAGCTTGGTTTTTACTTTAAAGATGAAGTCGTCAGAGACAGGTGAAAGTGGAAGTCGTGGTGGGCCCATCGGGATCCCGGAAAATATTGTCATGACCGCTTTGATGTGTGGAACACCAAAGCCTGCCCAAAGTGCAAAAATCATTCAGTTAACATACTATAACATATCTACTGATAGTTTTTAAGTGATGTGTTAATGTAATACAGGTAGTCCTTGACTTACGATCGCAAGTAGGACTGGAATTTCCATTGCTAAGCAATGCAGCCATAAAGCGCAACCACGTTGCTTAGCAATGGCAATCCTTGCAACTCTGGTTGCTTTTGTTAACCAAATCACACAGTTGCTAGGTGAGGCAACTTCCTGCAGGCGTCTCATGACCAAAGTCAGGTGGGAAGCTGGCAGAAAGCTGCAAGTCTCAGGCCAGCAGGCAGGAAAGTCGCTTCTGCCAGAGGGGGAAGTGAGAGAATGGTGTGTCAGTGCAGGTTGGGGAGGGTCCGTGAAGGGATGCATGAACGGCATTGCATGGATCAGAGAGGGTCCATGAAAGGTACAGTCTAAGTTGGGGAGGGTACATGAGGGTGGTGCAATAAGGGTTGTGGAGAGTGTGCGGAATTGTGCAAGAGTGCAAGGGAGGAGGTGCAGTGAAGGTCAGGGAGGATGCGGGGGAGAGCATGAGGCTGGCATGATTCAGGCATACAGAAACTAGGAAAGGTGCACAGTGGGAGACACAACCTAGTAACTTGTGACCTTCCCTGCCAGCTTTGTAGGGAAGTTAGCAAGGAAGGTTGCAGATAGCATCACAAGCAGTCGTACATTGCAGTGTAAGTAACCAATCACAATCACATCATTGTGAGAGTACCGGGATGGGCAGAACTCTGGTTGTAACCACCATTCATTCAGTGCTGATGTTTGGTCACTGAATGAATGATTGTAGGTCAAGACCCAAACTAAAATGAGAAAGGTAGGGATTCAGATTCAAAGTATAAGAGATGTTTCAAAACTGGGATGGGTGCAATCATTGACCCGTTTGTTGTTGTTGTTAATTGCGAAGTCGTGTCCGACCCATCGCGACCCCATGGACAATGTTCCTCCAGGTCTTCCTATCCTCTACCATCTTCTGGAGTCCCTTTAAGTTCACACCTACTGCTTCAGTGACTCCATCCAGCCATCCCATTCTCTGTCGTCCCATTCTTCTATTGCCCTCAATCTTTCCCAGCATTAGGCCCTTCTCCAGTGAGTCCTTCCTTCTCATTAGGTGGCCAAAGTATTTGAGTTTCAACTTCAGGATCTGGCCTTCTAAAGAGCAGTCAGGGTTGATCTCTTCTAGGAATTGACCCGTTAGTGGCTCCTAAAGAAGGAGCTGGGCTAGAGTTAAGGAGGTGAAAACAAGTATAACTTTATCTTTAGTGCCTCCTTAATTCCTGGAAATGAATGGCTACTGTGTGATCCTAACAAAACATATGGCTTCTTTAAGGATCAGTTGACAGTTGCACCTGCTTCAGATTGCAATAGCTGCATAATCAAGAAAAAAAAAGGAAACTGGAAAAGGAGAGTCTGAATAAATAGAAAACAGGAAATCAAGAAATACAGTGCTTCTTGATTAATGACCACTCATTCAGTGACTTTAAACTTATGACAGTGCTAACTGTATGGTACTTGTAACCAATCCTAGAAGTTCCAGCCACACAGCCCCCCCCCCAGCAGTCATGTGATCCTGATCTGGGCCTCAGCAACCAGCCCAGATTTCTAACCTTTACAATGCCCCACAGTCTTATGATTGCGATTTGTGATCTTCCCTTGTCAGCTTCCCATAAGCAAAGTCAATGGGGAAGCCAGCAGGAAGTCAAAAGATTTGGTCACATGAGGTCCTTGCTTAACAATGTAGTGATTTGCTTTACAACAGTAATTGGGATTGCTGGAATTGCTGTTGCTAAGCAGCACTGTTATGTGATATGGCACTTTAAGACTGCATTGCTTAACATTGGAGTTGCCAGGCCCAATTCCCATTAAGAAAGGAATACCTGTAGAAGAAAATATGAAGGGCAATTTATAAAAGAAATGAATGAAACATGGTTGAATGGAATTCTACAGAACTGAACTTCTAGGAGATGGAAACTAATTTAGGGAAAACTGAGAAGCATTCAGTCCACGTTAGGAAACTATTTAGCAGAGGCAAATGGATTAAATTACTGAAGTACTTACCGAGTGAAATGAGAAAGCCGAGGAACTCCTGAATACAGAACTAAGAGAAACAAAGTATTATTATTCATCTAATGCATTCAATATTATATTCAAATCCAATAGACAGCTGTGGATCTGTCCCAATTGTCTTGATGGAAACAATCAGGAAAAAGATTTCTGAAGCAACTATTGCAATAGCTAAAGGTTACTTACATTACATATATTCCTTTGTAACAAGCAGTTGGAATGAGTAGTTCCTATATAATTTCTTCATACAATGTATACTGAAATCTATAGTCATTACTATGATATTTCTTATTGTAGTAATAGCTGCTAAGTTGGAAGTTGTCAAAATTACTTTAAAAAATTGATGGAGAATAAGATGTTAACAGGAGCACAAAAGGGAAAGGACTGTTTTCTCTCTTGTCCTTGTTGGCCACTATGAATGATGAGAACATAAGAACAGTTCTGGGATGGCTCTTTCAAAAGACCTATATAGGCTAACATTTATCTGATTCATTACGCAGAACTGTTGTTATATTCCAGATTCTCTTATATGAGACTAATTACCCAATTCTATTTTAATCTGGTTTTAGGTACGGTTTTGAAATGACACTGACTGGATCAACTTCTAAATGACCTTATTCAGAGTGAATATGACTGTTAATTCTGGAGTTTTCAGTTGCTTTTGAGGCTATTACTCATAAAAGCCTTCTGGGGAGGATAATGAGCATATTAATCATTATGTTGCACTTTACTTCCTGTTTGGACCTGGTATTTCAGAAAGCAATAGCAGAGGATTAATGATCTACATGAGCATGCTATCATTACACAGACAACATTTCAATTGTTTTAATATTCACTTCAGGCAAAATTATTGTATTGATATATTGGATCTCAGAGAACTAATAGGGCTGAAGGAATTACATTCTATTATATCATTTCACTCTGATTCCTATAAATGAGAAAGGGGATACTTTAGAACATTTTTCTTTTCAGATCCAGACCTCTTATGGATCACAACCTGATATGTCCCCATCAGTGGTAATCTAATTTGTTTAAGAAATTGTTTAAGAATGTTTGAAATCTGTTGCTATTGTATTGTCATTTTCTATCTCTATTAATTCATTCAAACACTGTTCCACTCTCTTCTAATCTGTATATTTATGAATCAATTCCACACTTTCAATTTCATACTACTTTCATGTACATGCTATGGTTTAATTTTTAATTTAGTTTAATTTATTAAATTTACATGATGCCTGACTCCCAGTGGTAATTATAGCAAACAAGCAACTTGCAATTGGCTTTAGTCAGACATCTCTCTCTCTCTCTCTCTCTCTCTCCCCCCCCTCTCTCTCTCTATATATGTATATGTATATGTACATATGTATATATATACACACACACAAACATACACACACACACGGATACACACACGTTAGGATCTAATTGATCTTGAAAAAAGATGCTGCTAAGTTTATTACTTAGGTAGGAAATCAACGGGAAAACTCAGTCTCTAAGCTAGAGTGAACTGTAACAACAAAAATCCAGAAGGCAGCAGTGGCAAACCACTTACATAATGCTAAACAAAAGTAACATGAATGGGTCCATGTAATTCATCAGAGGCTGAATTTGACTTTGACTTACTTTTCAGCCAGAAACATCATACCTCATATTTTTGTGCTGAATACAAATCTCCAGAGGCAAAAGCTTCAAGTAGTAAGTTATGTATCCTGCCCAGGTAGTTATATGTACTGTTAAAAAAGAAAAAGATACAAACAATGAAAAAGTAGATTAAAGCATTCAAGTAGTCGTTGGTTAACAACAGTATTTGGGACCAGAATTTCCATTGCTAAGTGTTGTGGTCATAAAAGGCGACATGACATGACTGCATGCTTAGTGACCATAATCCCAGCAGTCCACTGCTGTTGTTAATTAAATCCCATTGACTATTAGGTGAAGATCTACCCTGTTCCAAGCCATTTTCTCAGCTTGGTCCCTTACAGCCCCAAGTCTTGGTAAGGTAAGGGACTGCCTCCTCTGCCAACTCTTGAAATCCACCCATCTGCCTCCCACTTACCTGCTACCACCTTTGACTCCTGCCAGCTCTGCCTGCTGCATCAGGCATCACTATTGTACTGGCTGGGGGCTTCTTTCATGATGCTTTTTTTTTTTTACACTGGTGCAGATAGCCTTGGCTTCTCTTGCACTGTGCCCAGGACTTCCCTTTGTGCCCCACCCAGGTCTTTTTTCACAGAAGAAGCCTAGAGTATGAAGGAAGGTTGTGTTCTCCTTTTGTGCCAGGGCAGCTGGGGCCTTCTTTCACATGCCAAGCTTCTTTCATGAAAGAAAGCCCTGATTAGAGTGCAAATGGAAGTCCTGGCAAGGCACAAGAAAAGTCACAACTGTACCGGCATGAAAGAAGAACCTGGACAGTACAATAATGGTGCACGGTGCAGGAGATGTAGCAGGATCAGGCCATGGGGACAGCTGGTGGCAGCAGGTAGGCAGTCAGTCAAAAGGTGGTCATAAATGTGGATGGGTCCACCTGGGATCTAATTTGGTTCATGTGCCTACAGAAGTACTGCAATGGCTGGAACCTGGAGGATCAGCTGGAAGTCCTCTCCTTCAGCTCTGTCAAAACTTTAAATGGTCACTGCCTGAATGGACATTGGTTGAGAACTATCTGCAATTGCAATTAGAGCAAACAGTGCAGCATATTATTCCAGTGCAGAAGCTGGATATGCAACTATACGGAGGATATCAGATTTCAAAAATTATCAGAAGTCAGTTTTCATGGAATTATTATTATTTTTTTTATATAAATTTTTATTCATAATACAATTAAAACAACAATGGACAAACATGACATTCCAGAATGAATTTTCCAATCAGTTCCTATCATAGTACAAAAATTTTATACATTGTTCTTAACCTCTATATAAACCTCATCTTTTATACAATACAATTATATATACAATTATATGTACAGTTATGTATATCTTTTAATTCTACCATTAGTTTGAAGTCCGAGCAGTTCTTAATTCATACCAGCGGTAAAATTTGCCCCAGATTTCGAAGTATTCGTTTTCCGTTTTGTCTTTCATAATAATTGTAAGCCTGTCCATCTCAGCACATATTAGAATTTTATGCAGGATCTCTTCTTCCGTTGGGGTTCCCTTGTTCCTTCAATTTTGAGCAAAAACCAGCCTGGAGGCCGTTAAAATGTGTAGCATTAAATAAAGTACGCCTTTGTCATGTTTTTGCATAGTTAAACCTAATAGAAAGAGTTCTGGTTTTGGTTCTACCGCTTGCTCTAATATTTCTTCCAACCATATTTTAATCCTGTTCCAAAAATCACAAGCTCGCGTGCATTCCCACCACATATGATAGTAAGTTCCACTTTTCAAATTACATTTCCAACATTTAGGGGAGACATTGGTATACATTTTAGACAATCTTGTGGGTGGGAGATGCCATCTATAAAACATTTTGTAAAGGTTCTCTTTGTAAGAGGTGGCCAAAGTAAGCTTCTTGTTTCTTGCCCATAGTTCTTGCCATATATGCAGATCAAAATTAAGACCAAAATCCTTACTCCAATTCAACATAGTCACTTTTACTTGTTCCTCGTACGTTGCCTGATCTAGCAAATAGTAGTATAATTTTTTAATCATTTTATCCTCCGACCCCAAAATTATTTTATCCAATTCTATTGGTTCTAGTTTAATGCCTAACTCTTTTTTGTCTTTCCGATATCTTGCCTGCAGTTGCAGGTATGCCCACCATTCTAATTCTATCCCTTCATCGTGGATAGTTTTCCTGGATTTCAATTCCCCTCTTTCATCTAAGATATTTTTATATGTTATGGTCTTGTCTAATTGAGTAAATTTTGGGTGTACATATATTTCTAACGGTGAGATCCAACTAGGTACTTGGGTATAATTTGGTTGCCAAATTTTTGTCCATACATCAATAAGAGCTTGCCTAATATAGTGACTTCGAAAATATTTATGTACTTTATATTTATGATCCCATAATATGGCATGCCATCCTATTTGTAGGTCATGGCCCTCCAGACACAATAGTCTCCTATTTTTTAGTAATATCCAATCTCTTACCCATACTAATGCTGCGGCCTGGTAATATTTCTCCAAGTCTGGAAGACCAAATCCCCCCCTTTCCTTTAAGTCCTGTAGTAATTTTAATTTAATCCTTGCTCTTTTTCCTTGCCAGATGAATTTACACATCATTTTATTCAAATTTTGAAAAAATTTCTTGTCTAATTTTATAGGTATACATTGGAACAGAAATAAGATTTTTGGCAACACATTCATTTTTATCACTGCAATTCTGCCCATAAAAGAGAGCTGTAGGTTAGTCCAAATATCAAAGTCTTTTTGAATCTGTTCTATTAACTTATCGTAGTTATCCCTTTTAAGCGTAGCGCATTTGGCAGTCAGTTGTATCCCTAAATATCTAATTTTATTTGTGATTTGAACACCAATTCTGTCAACCAATTCATTTTTCTGTGTTTTAGTCATATTTTTGACAAGCATTTTAGTTTTTTCTTTATTTATTTTTAAACCTGCTATTTCCCCGTATCTATTCAATGTTTCCATCAGTCTAATCCCTGATTGTAGTGGTTCTTCAATTATAAAAACTAAATCATCTGCAAAGGCTTGTATTTTAAATGTCTCTTTCTTGATTTCTAGACCTTGGATCTGTTCATCTTGCCGGATTGCTCTAGTTAATACCTCAAGAGATAATATAAATAACAATGGTGATAGTGGGCAGCCTTGCCTTGTGCCTTTTTGCATTTGGAAACTCTCAGTCAGTTCTCCATTGATTATTACTTTGGCCACCTGCTTAGAGTAAACTGATTTAAACATATTTAAGAAATTTTCCCCAAAGTCCATATACAATAATTGATTAAACATAAAATCCCATTTTACATTGTCGAATGCTTTTTGGGCATCAAGAAAAATTAAACACATTTGCTTTTCATTATGTACTTCATAATATTCCAATATGTCCAAAACAGTCCTAATATTGTTTCTTATATATCTTTTAGATAGAAAGCCGTTTTGATCAATATGTATAAAATCCACTAAGAACCTTTCCAATCTTTGTGCCATTATTGCCATGAAAATCTTGTAATCTGAATTCAAAAGAGAAATGGGTCTATAGTTCTTAATTTGTGTCAGGTTTGTGTTTTCTTTAGGTATCAACGTGAGGAAGGCTTCTTCCCATGAAGCTGGTATTTTAGCTTGGGTTAAAACCTCGTTAAATAAGTCCAACAGCATTGGGCTTAAAGATTCTTGTGCAATTTTATACATTTCTGCAGGTATACCATCTGGCCCAGGTGTTTTATTATTCTTCTGTTTCTTAATTGCGACCGAGAGCTCTAAATATGTTATCTCTTTATTTAGGAGAGTTTTAAATTCTTCTGGCACCTTGGGTAAATCGACTAGTTGTAAATACTGTACTATGTCATAGTTATTTCTCTTTTCGTCGTCCTTATATAAATTCTTATAAAACTCATATGCCACTAGCTTTTTTCCTTCGTTCTGGCACACCATATCACCTTTGGCGTTATAAAGGTTGGTAACTCTCTGCTTATTATTGTGTTTTTTGATTTTATAAGCCAACCATCTCCCTGGTTTATTGGCATTTTCAAAGAAATTTTGTTTAGTACGTTTTATCTGCTGTCCTAGATCTTCCTTCGTAATAATATCCATCTTATGTTTAATTAAATCAATCTGTTGTTTCAAATCACATCTTTGTGGTTCATTTTGCAGGTTATCCTCAACTTTACGTAGTTCTTCTTCCAGTTGTCTTTGGCGTTGTGTTTTGATTTTGTGTTCCCTAGCCATATAAGAAATTACAACGCCTCTCATGTAGGCTTTGGTTGTATCCCATAAATTTTGGCAGTTTGTATCCTCCTCGTTTGACTTAAAAAACAGATCCAATTGTTCTTCTAATTTTGATTTGAATTCTTTATGATTTAAGATTGCCCTTTTTAGAGTCCATCTCCTCGTGTTTTTTTGCCCCTTCCATCTAATTCTAATCGGATTGTGATTAGCCCAGGTGTTTGTATCAATCATAATCTCCTCTACTTCTAAATTTAAGTCAGCTGACATCCACACCATATCAATTCTGGACCAAGATTGATGATGTCCAGAATAAAAGGTAAACTGTTTTTTCCCAGGATTCCTTTCTCTCCAAATATCCTGTATATTAAACTCATCTACCATTTTTAAGAAAATATCAGATATTGTTCCTCTAATTTTTTTTCTATTCTTTCCACATTTATAATCTAGATTATTATCCACAATTGCATTATAGTCACCCATTATGCAAATGCTATCATGTTCCAACTGGCTAATAATGTTGTAGAGTTTCTTATAGAAATGTTTTTGCCCCTCATTCGGGGCATAAATTCCAACCAAAAGAATTTTGGCTTTATTCAAAGTTACTTCCACAATTAGAATTCTGCCATCTTCGTCCTTATAAATTTGCTTAGCCACAATTTCTTGTTTAATATATACTACCACACCTCCTTTCTTATATTGCGAAAGTGCTGCGAACATATTCCCCAGTTTAGGACAATTTAATAAATATTGATGTTGTTTTTTAATGTGGACTTCTTGTAACATTATTATATCTAAATTCATCTTATTGAGCCTATTGAAAAACTTCTTCCTTTTTGTTGGAGAGTTGAGGCCATTAACGTTGATAGATATAGATTCAACAC